AGGCAAAAATAAATAAATGAAACAGATTCCATCTACAAAACTGAGATAGAGCTGGAAGCGTTTACTTCATTCATGCTCAAAACAAGATTTATTTTATGCAAAATACGATAGGGGTTATCGCAACCGGCTCACCTTTACAGGTACTCTCCCCTACACCATCTGTGAGCCAGTGGAATCGCTCTCTCCTTTTCCCTCCCTCAAGGCACCCCCTCCAAACTGGAAATGAGTTGAGTGGCTTATGCAGGTTTTCAAATGGGCACCCCCCTTCCTCGATGTTTCATTGATTTAAGCCCATGACATCTTGGGGGGGCTCGACGGTAGAACCAGCATCCTGGTACTACCCCCGCAGTTTGCCACTCAACTCTGATGTTTTCCCTCCCCAGGTTTGCTCTGCAAGTGCTCATTCCGCTTCATCCAAATCCACCGGGATGTTGCCTCTGCCTGCTTGGTGATGTTGGCTATCAGCCGCTTCCTAGCCTGGCCTTCAATTCCAAGCAGTCCAAGAGCTCTCCAGAGCGACTGTCCTGCGAAGCCCCTGCAGCCGACCTCCACCGGCAGGTTCCATGCCTTCCACCCATTACGCTGGCTGTCGAGGATGAGATTCTGATATTTCTTGAGCTTGCACTCATGTGCTTCCTCCATCCTCTCTTCCCAGGGTACTGTAAGTTCCATTAGGATCACTTGCTTGGTACCTTTAGACCAGAGGACAATGTTGGTTCTGAGGTTGGTAAGGGTTATCTCCTCTGGAAATTTGAGCTGCTGCTTAGGTCAGCCCGCATCTCCCAGTCACTTGCCGTGCCCAGGACTCCTTTAGTCCTCAACTCTGCTGTTGTTGTTGCACTTTCCCCTGACCTGAGAAAGTGGATGAAACGAGGACCATCAGTACGTTGTTTTGGCCTCTTTCTGGCCTGTTCCACACCAGCAGCCAGTTGTGTCAGGATCTGGTCGTGTCGCAACCTGAATTTCCCATTCGCCAGACTTGACCCACACAAGGAGAGGACATGCTCCAGGTTAGCTGGCCTTCCACAGAGCGTGCAGCAGGGCCTTTCGGCCAATCCCCATGTGTGGAGGTTTGATGGAGTCGGCAGGACATCATACACGGAACACAACAGAAACTTGATCCGGTGTTCTTCCATGCTCCAGATGTCCTTCCAAGTCAGTGCCCTTTCTCGCACACTCTCCCACCTCGTCCAGCTGCCCTGTTTGTTCATGGCTACTGCCTTGACATGTCTGCCTTCCTCCTCTGCCCTGCGTACCTCCCTTTGAACCATGCCACGGCGTTCCTTTGGATTAGCCTTTTTCCAGTTTGCCTTAGTGGAGCAACCCAGGCCTAGCCTGCCCTGGGCTACTGCCCCAACAATGTCAGCATGGTGAAGGCAATCCTCCGCCTCCCTCAGCGCTCTGCTGGCTGACCACTTGCAACCTGTTCTGACCTCAATATCTGCCTGGCGAACTCTTGCATCTTTGCTGTCTCGCAGCATCATGGCCTGGCGGGTTTTTGTTGCCTTGTACTCCTCCACTACTGATGCAGCTGCAGCTTGCTGCCTGTGCTGTACAGGCCAATGGAACAGAAGCTTCTTGGGACCCCCAGCCATCTCCTCAGGTAAGTGTCAGGAGTGTGAGGAGATAGTTCTATTGTACTATTAAAAATTTTAACTATTTAACAACTGCAACGTTTTGCTTTTAATAATTAATATTTTCTTATAAAAGGTATTTGGTAACATTTTCCTTAAAGAGCATATTGCAGGTTAAATCTTTTTGTAAATTAACACTTAACATTGTCTGGCAAAGGTTGTAGAATAAGTCAATGTTTGATTTGATATTTTATACAACACAAAAGGGCAAAAGATTAGAGGAGAAAGTGGCCGTTTTCTGTATTGCTGTTTAGAACGTTCATTTTTTTATCAACATCACGTCATATACAAGGGGCAACCTCCGGTCTCGAAAAATGAAGCCTATGCGGAAGTACAAAAAACTGCAGTTCCTCGAGGTTCCGCTTGAGGCTGGCTGCAGAAGCGCCGGAAGTGCCATAAGCCCACAGCCAAAAAAGCCCGTTTTTACCACAGGAATCAACATGTTTACAGCCTGGTTCACAAAACGAGATATATCTGAGAAGTTGACGGCCCCTTCTCCTCACACTGTGGGGGGGGGGTGAATTTTTTTATAACTCATCGGATTTTATTCTATGAAGGAAAACGACTATGCCCATATTTGGTTGTGTCAGATTTGATTGACAGCTCTGCGCGCTGCATCTGTCTGTCAGGTCAGCAGGTCAGGAGGCTAACAGCTTGATCCGTCTGATTTCTCCTCTTTCTTACTTCGTTTGGAGAGTTTGTTTAACACATATCTGACAACATACATGGCTTGCTGTGCGGTTAACAGACCATCCAACAAGTTGATGCTTCAGTTTTCTTCGGTAAGTGATATAGTAGTGTTATATTTACTGTATACTTGTGTGTCGGTATTTATATTTACGGACCTAGCTTGTTTAGCATTAGCTTGTAAACCAGTCGACGAACTGTGTAGCTCATTATTTACATTATTTACGGTCAATGGTTTAGAAATGTTTGTTGTTAAGATGTTGAAAATGAGTTTGTGTGATGTTAGAAGCTAAAGGTTCACCTCAGTTGTTATCTGACGTTATGATGAATGTTATACTCCACGTAAATGTGGACATTAAAAAACAAACTTTGTGTAGTAATTATCCGTCAGTAACATAAACTGAACTGAACCTAATGTGCTGTGTAGGTTATAGAGGATGACATTAAAGTTACATGGTTGATGTAGTGTCTTAAGATTTGAGCAAACTGTTAACAAATTAAAAAAACTTCACTTTGTAAGAGCATCTGTAACCATTAAGAACTATATTAATAACCATATTAATTTTCACTGAACTCATACACAGAATATAGCTGTAGAAATATAAAATATAAATAACATATGAAATATGTATGAAATAAGATTTAAAGCACATAGATATAAAGTATAAGAAATAGTTTGAAGAATACAGCCATGTACTGAGCTCATGTTAATAATAAATGAGTTACTGTATGTTGGGATCTGTTAATGATTTAAATAATTCAGGTTATATTTGTTTCATGTTAAGATGAAGTACTATCCACAATAAACTGCTTAATTTTTCCTCACAAAATCTGAGACAATTTGATGTGGAATATCATTGTGTGAGTGAGAGAGCTGAAAATAGCATGATTACAATAAGGTTTATCTTCTTAACTTTAAATAGATGTTGATTACCTGAATACTGTACCTTTGTTGTCTGGGTAGTATACTGTTGAATTTATAAATGTATCTTACACACAGATGAATACAGAAAAATAGATGAGAACAAAAAAATGATTTAATGAATAACTGATATTTTCTCTCTTTCTTTGTCCTCCTGAAGACCTCTCACTAAAAGTCCATGTTCTCCTGGATCCATGTCACATGCTCGAGCTTCTTCTGAATGACTTTTCAACAGTGAAGTTCTGCTGAGAGAAGATGGCCAGCAGCAGACAGCAGTACATGAAGGAGCTCCACAGGCTTCAGGAGGAGGAGGAGGGTTTGCACTTTGGAAGACTGTATTCATGCTGTTCAAATAAAAATAGATCTCCTCCAAACAACTTGCAATCAAACCATTTTCTTCCCATTTTAAAACCCTTTGTCCAGTTTAGATGGGAGAAGTTGATATTATGTGATATTGATCAGGGAAGACTACATTTCTAAATCATTTTTAACTGTGTTTTTATTCACAAGTTATTGATCTTATTTACTCTCCATGTATCTTGATTTAAGAATGGGGCTGTGTTTAAGGCATATTTTTGCAATGACTCTGTTCCATCCCACTTTCAGAAATGAACTACATTAGTATTTGGTAAAAGAAAATGTCGAAAGAATAAGAAGTTGTGTAAAAGTAGACTTCCACATTTTAGTCTTGTCATTTCAAATCTGAAATGTATACTCATAAGTAGACATAAAGGAGTGCATTTATATAGAAATATTTATTTAATCTGAAAAACAACATTAAAAAAATCTGTTTTTACAGCAGAGATGAACATGTTTACAGCTTGGTACAAAACAAACAAATAGGTGTGATTAGCTCATGTCTCGATGGACACACACTGTACGGGGGGTGACTGTTTTGATGACTCATCAGTTTTGATTTGATGAAGGATAAGAGTTATTCACAATAAGGCTTGTAGCTGACCAGCTTGACAGGCGGGCGCAGTGTAACGGTTTGTCAAGAGGCTTAAAACCCGTCTCAGCTCTCAGCCTGTGGGTGACATCACTCAGGCCATCCGGGGGAGACCTCCCTCACAGCGAGTTGTTGAAGAGAAGCAACTGAAGTCCACCCCAGAAGAACCAACAAATGCAGATGTTGTTGAGGCTCAGGTTTCTTCCTCTGTCTCTGCAGCTCTCTGGGCACCTCGATGGACAAGTCACCAATAATCACACTGTGTCTATAGGAGAAAACAAAGGTGTTCAATTAATGCCTCAGACAAGACAAAATGTACAGTTAACTACATGTGACAGCTCAGGCTGTTTTTTTGTTATGAGCCACATCTGCAGGAATAATATTGAACAAGGTAGCTGCAACTCATCATAATAGATGCCAGTCTTAAACACTATTTTTTCTAATAAAGTTTTTGGTGTGAAGCTGACACTGTCCACAGACTCCATGACTTCACGGGGTTCAATAGAAAACAAATGTCTTGTAATAAATACTAAATAATTATTTTTCAATTGTCATGTTCACCTCATCGCTGTTGACATCAGTAAATATAAAACACAGACATTCCTCTTTTTGTCAGAACAGTAACATGAACTGTATGCTTTGTAATATTGATTTCTTCTGGATGTCTCATATTTATTTACAGTTTATGAATAAAACTTTGTTAATGTATTGCTCTGCTAACACTGACAAAGTCTAACTGCTCTGACAAATAACTAAAAACCATGACTGTATATTTAAAAAAGTGTAGTTTTAAGACTTTAATTAAATATTTGGGTTGAATATAATTAGTTTTAACTGTGTTGTAGAAAAGTTAAATGTTAACTTACTGTTTGTAGAGTTTTCTCAGGACGAGCAGGAGTAGGGGATGATAGCAGCCTTGCTGTGAAGTGGACTGCTAACGTCGAGCTGAATGGGTGGAGTTAAGTCCCGCCGGTCCCGCCTTACTGCTGTCGTTAGGTTGATCCGAAGTTAGGTTGAGACTGCAAATCCAATATGGATGCGGCCGTCGATTGGACTCATTTTCTGTAACAGACGGGTCAGGGTTCGTCCAGTAATATTTACAGTCTATGGTCATATATGATGTCATCTTAAGTCTCAAGTGAAATAAGCAAGGTCAAGGAGAGACCTTGTTTTGGGTTTTTTATGGGATCTGTTGACAATATATTTTAAAACAATGACTTTAATAACTTAAAGGTTATTTTGATCAATATTTCTTAGGGCAACCTGAGGTCGATCAAGGCAGTGGGAAGTCTGGACTCTCTGGGTATTACTTCCATGGTGTGTGGCGATCACTTGGTGGCACCAAAGTCCACCAATTCAACAACTCCTCTGCCATCAGTCAGTGTCTGAAAGGAAAGGCGGTCCACATGTACGGAGACTCCACCCTTAGGCAGTGGTTTGAGTACCTTGATGCTTCACTTCCAGGTAGTTAATACACATTCATTTCAGGTGACAGTTTAATATTATTTATATAACAGCTAAACTTGTTCCTTCTGTCATACTTTCAGATGCTAATGAGATTAACCGGAATAGTCCGAAGAAAACTGGACCTTACATGATATGGGACAATGCAAAAAACATCTTGGTAACATACCGTGTCCATGGTCCTCCTCTTAGTTTTATCTACGTCCCAACCAGTGAGCTGCGTTACATTTCCAATGAAATTGACGGGTTGGTAGGTGGCACCAACACAGTTGTAGTTTTTAGCATCTGGGCCCACTTCAGCCCTTTCCCAATTGAGCTCTACATCAGACGGCTTCAGAGCATCCGCAGGGCGGTGATTCGTCTGTTGAACAGGGCTCCAGACACGCTGGTGGTCATCAGGACTGCAAACCTCAGAGGTTTAACACCTTCTGTATCGTTAAACTACAGTGACTGGTACACACTACAGCTGGACAAGGTGCTAAGAGCTGTGTTCAAAGGACTTAATGTTCGACTAGTGGACGCTTGGGAGATGACTCTGGCCCACCACCTGCCTCACAACATTCACCCAGGCCGTCCTATTGTTAAGAATATGATTGACATTATCTTGTCCTACATATGCACCAAATAGGGCTAATAGATGTGCATTTGTTATGAGCAGGTTAAAGACCTCACTCTTTTTTACATTGTGTTACAGTATAGCAGGTAAACTCTGTGTTATCTGCAAAGACCCAATAGTAATCCATCACAGCACTTAGCAACATTTAGCGAAGTTACAGTGGCAAGGAAAAACTGTCTTTTTACAAACCGAAACCTTGAGCAAAACCAGATTCATGTTTAACAGCCAACTGCTGAAACAGTGTTGGGCTTGAAAGTATGTGTTTTATTAGCAGTAACAGTTAGGCATGATAATAGACTGATCAGTCTAATATTAACGTTAGTAACAGTATGATGAAACAGTTAGGACTGCTTATGTTTGATCATGTGTATGTTTTTATCAGACCTCCGAAGGACTTTATGTTTTTATTTTTATAAATCATGATTAAAATGATAATTTTGGTCATGTAAAAAAACATGTTTGTTGAGTTGAACTTTCGTGCACGGCCTGAATACGCCCTCTTTTTTTGAGAAATAGAAATATCGCATGATGGTCCATCCATGCTCAAACTGCCTGCAATCCCTAAGTACAACGAGAAGAGATTACCATAATAGGGAAATGGGGAGCTTAAAATGCTTATGAAGAGTAATAATGGTTTGAATATGAACTTATTGTTAATCGCATTGTGTATTCATTTAGAGGGAATTAAAAGTAGTTGAAAAGTCAGTACCTTAGAAATTACCTCATGAAAAATGAAACAGAACCAATTGTTAACAGATTTTTCAAACAAAAAAAACGTGTTTTATTAATAAAGAATGATCTCTGTCTAAATGCATAAAAGACCTAGATGGTCTAATTTACATGCTACACAAACATAGGCCGAAATACACAAACATGCACAAACAGGATCCTCTGGACATGCATTAATAATGAGGTCTCAGAGTGAGTGGGCTGCCCACAGCAAGCTCTCCAGAGCAGTTTCAGGTTCGGTGCCTTGCTCAAGGGCACCTCGGCAGTGCTCAGGAAGTGGACTGATGCCTCTCCAGCTACCAGATCAATTTCCGGACTTGGTCCGGGGACTTGAACTGGCAACCCCTCCGATTCCCAACCCATGTCCCAACAGACTGAGCTACTGCCACTCTTGGTTGTCGCTAATGCTAAGCTATATGCTATGCTAATGCTATGCTACATGCTATGCTACATCAGAAGCAATACATAACACTTAATAACAAGGCTAATGCTAATGTTACACATAGTAACTTCAGTACACCCTGTTACTTCAAATACATACTGCAACCACATGCTAACAGAACAACAAAAGGCTAACCACATTGCAATTGCAATACATGGTAAATAAGCATACAGCAAGTGACTGTCCTCTGCTCTTGAAGCAAATTTGTCGAACCACTGTGCCGAGGCATGGTTTGGTCACTTGACTAGTGACATTCGAAGCAGTTGAAGGCTTCGAATGTCATACGAATCACCTGATTGGTTCGGTTTGTCATTTGGATCACTTGGCGGGATCAAGTATGTTCCGGGGTAGGCTATCCCTATTTAGTGTGGTTCATTTGGTTTTTTCGCTGTTGTTGCTGTTGGTTGCTTAAAGAGTTAGTAGTGTTGTATCAGATTACGTATTTTGTAGAGAATCAGTGTAGATAGATAGACCCGGATAATAAGGTAATTACCAGTGTTATTTTGATTTCACTTGTAGCCTATTTACCCTGGAAACCCCCTTAAGGGCAAGCCCTCAAGTACAATGATGTTGCTATAGAAAACATAATTACACAATTGTTGTCCTTGATGTACATGCCTGTAGTAGCCAATGCCAAATTTCAATGGGGTGGAAAATTACATATGAATGCATTCAAATTATGATTGACTTTGCTGACTGATTGTTTCACAGGTCCAGTGTGTGCTGTTTGATTCAAGGCTGTCATACAGCAACAACACCTTGTCCATGCTGAGGCACTTGTAGCATATACAATTATAATACGGGGCACCAGCTTTAAGAATAAGCACAAGACTATTAACCTTAATTATAGTAATGAATTAATAAATGAATCTGTCTCATATTATCAGAGTAAGTTCTCAAGCAGTTTAAAACCAGAAAAATACACAGACAAATTACAGAATTTTTATGTGTAAAGTTTAAAGGTCCCATATTATGCTTTTGCTGGTTTTATATGCCCTTTAGTGTGTTTTCCAAGTGTCCCGTGCATGCTTAGCCACATCTATGTGCAAAAATTCAAAGTCCGCGGAAACGCGGCTTCTCCTACGTTCTCCTGTTAGCTGTAGCATTAGCCACATGTAACGCTCAGTTCTAGCCCACCTCGATAAACATTTGTCAGTCCGACATCATTGTCAGTGTGAGATCACTGATCTAAGCCCATTGGCTCGTTGTGGCAAGCCTTGCAGCTCATGTTGAAATTTCCGAGACGTGTGCTGAGCAACTGACCAATAACGACAGAGCGGATCGGCAGACCAATCAGAGCAGACTTGGGCCACGTGGGGTCTAACAGTGGGGGCTCAGCAGAGCGTAGCTGATGGACTCAGAGCGTAGAGGGAGCAAGGAGGAGCAGTATGAAAACAGACACTTTTTTCGGACTTTAGCTATTATGAACCACAAAAATAGATACATAGATTAAATATGCAAACCCCAAAAAGGGCATAATATGGGCTCTTTAATATAGAAAATGGTGAACAAGATATATGAATAAAGTAAATATGCAAAAAATATAATTACAACAGTGATACTGACATGACAACGTAAATAAGAGAATGTTAATTCTTGATTTCTAAGTTTGATATGGTGATTTTCTTATGTTAGAGTAACGGGGTAAAACACGGTATCGTTTGAGTGATTTAACTAGGTAAGGATTTATAAAAAAGGGGACTTAATTAATTTGTTATAAAAGTTGATTTAGAGGCTTTGATTTGGATACGACAAGCTTTGCTTCCACACACCCAATGCTTAATCAGAACGCTCCTTACTCTGAGTCACGTTCGGTAGAACTCTGCCGAATGGTACCACTCGTCAAGTTCTTTCGGATCAAGGATGCCGGCGGTCCACGGTGAGAGCCGTAGCAAATGTGGTCGGAGTTGATGAGTGAAGTGGGGAAATGGATGGCATAGCGGTCCGGTCGTCGTCCATTGGGTCCGTCTCTCAGCTGCTCAAAGCAGGTCCAAACAACGTCCTTTAAAAATGAACAGTCGTTAACTCTCACTCAATGGCCAATTCTCACTCAATGGCCAATTCTAGTGAGTTTGAGACTAACAAAAAAAAGGTTCTGAAAGATGTGCGGTCAATACTAAAGGGAAAAGCTAAGCGCGTAACTTGGGTCAAAAGGCACCTGAGTTAACGTGCGATGAGAAAAAAACAAGTTAAAATGCAGAAGTTGAAAATGTCTTAAGAAAAAGGGGGACTCATTATCCCTAACCTAAAGCACTATTTCTATGCAGCTCAAATACAATCAATAAGCACCTGGCTAAATGATAACTCTGAAGCAAGGTGGAGATCCATAGAAAAACACATGTTGCCATGTTTCAATAAAAACAATACCCTTCTGTACAAAGACTAAAAGTAGGACACAAGTAATCAACAATGCATTAATAAGAAACACCTTAAAGACTTGGCACATAATTAAAAAAAAATGCAAAATGAAAGAGGACTTCATTGTACTGAGAGAAATGAAAGAAGATCCTGAATTTAGTCCTAATAAACAGGATACAGTCTTTAATACATGGGTACAAAAGGGACTGACCATATTTGGACAATGTTTAGATGAAAACAGAATTATACCATTTGAATCTCTAAGGACATATTATGATTTACCACACTCCCACTTCTTCCAATATTTGCAACTGAGAAGTTACACGCAGAACAGTGAAACAGGGAGGAAGACTAGCAGTGATCTCCATCCACTTGTGCAATTTTTGGTGAAGAACTTTAGTAATGTTAGTGTACCACATCAAATTTCAACTGTGTATAATATTTTAGAAAATAGTCAAAATTTTGACGATACATGGGCAAAGCTAAGATGGGAGGAAGAACTTAATTCACACAAATCTGATGATACCCGGAAGGAAATGAATCGGAATGTGCACTCAACCACTATATCTCCTTACTCGAGAGAATATGCATGGAAAATACAATCACGTTATTTTATAACACAAGTGCAACAAGCTAGGTATAATAATAAAATATTGCCAAACTGCTGGAGGGAATGTGGCGAGTCTTGTGCCAATTTTGGTCAAATTATTTGGTCCTGTCCATTATTAAAAGTGTTCTAGAACAATATTCAGAGAGAAGTCAAAACCATTTTCAATGACGCCATTCACTTAAACACAGACTTTATATTGTTAGGTAAAACAGTGGACAACATTCATAATGAAAACGATCAATATGAGTTAAGAAGTTGGCTTCAAAAAACATGCCCCTTGATATAGAAATGGAGAAACAATTCAACAAATATATCAGATGGAAAGTTTAACTTATAAAATGAGGGGGAACTCAAAACCATCTGAAAAGAGATGGTCTAAATGGTCAACATATTATGGTAGGAAGGAACTGTACTGAAACTTTGGGATCAAGACAATCGGACTGACAGTCACTTAGGGGAGCACCACCTAGGTTTTTTTTTGTTTTGTTGGTTTTTTTTGTTTTCTTTCTGTCTTCTTTCTCCTTTGACTCTTCTTCTCTTTCTCTTGTGGCGTATGTGTCACGTCAGGCCTTTAACCTGAAAATAGTCACGTAAAACATCATGTGACATATATGTCACAATAAAACATATTTTAATAATCCTTTCAGTTAATTAAGCTGATCTAATGATATTTAATGAACTATATGTTATATTGTTCAATCCAAAGGATTTTGATTTTAAAATTTACATAAAAAACATGTCATATTGATTAAATTAATAAAATGAAGGAATACAATACATGTTTCCAATTAATCAATAAAATAAACAAACAAACAATGATTGAATACCCTATTCCAATGAAATTTCAATGTCATATAATGTGTTATTTAGTTTGAATAACGTTGAGCAGTTCAGAGCTCAGGATAAATTGTCAGTTATTCATGGAGATGACGGTAAAAGTATGAGCAACATGAAGTTAGCTCAAATTAGGACCCTGAAGACCTGATTACACTACCAGCAACAAATTCATATAATATAATTAGTCAAGTGAGTCTGATTCAGAAAGTAGTGAATTAAGTGATTTAGATCAAACAGTTGGGACACCCCAGGGGGTTGCCAGCCACAAAAGGGAGGTAGCGAGATGCCTTTCAAAGAACTAATATAAATGTAAAATCATTTAAAATTGTTTGTTTAGCTCATTTTTGTAAAAATAAATACTTAAGTAGTTAGAGTTCAAATAAAACCACATGACAGCAGTCAACAGTATAGGTGTCTGCTGCTCTTTACACATAAACATGAACACACCTGTGTTTTTTTAAATTCTTTAAGGCCACTCAGTCATAAAGTCCATACATGGAAATTACTTTTATTCTGCTTCTAGCCTATCTAAAGATTAATTACTATATAAACGTCCCTCCCAAGAAAGTTGGTGTTGTTTTTGCTGAAAATGTTCACATTGACCAGTTTGTAGACTGGCCTGGGAAATGGGAAAAGTGTGGCTTTTGCCATTTCTGCCAAATCAATGCAACCACCACCCTCTAATGTGTGTCACTGCTTCAATGCAGAAATAAATTGTTATAATATTGTAGTAATATGACCATTTTGTCACAGTTCAACTGCCACAAATGCTGATAAGGCTGATTCAAACTTGGTGTGATAATATGAAAGTTATAGTTTCTAAACTTATTTGCGTTATGTTTAGTCAAGCTTCCTACTTAAGTCTGACTGCTTTTCAGTCATGTACAGTAACAGTAACTTGTTTAGAAGACCTCCAATATGAGGTAGTCTTATATTTTTTTTTGGTTGCAAAACAAAAAAAATATGGTTTAACCAGATAAGTAAAGTTATAATTTTGAAATATGTTGTACAAATACAAATAAATAGACA